ACCATCGCTCTACTGAGTGTTTGGGTTGTCAGAATCAGATTCACTGAAGCGTGCAACGAGTCCCTAAAAACCGTGGTCAGGGTGGTGTGGTTCCCTCACCTCGTCCTCCGACAGCCTCATCAGCAATCCCATCCCGATTGATGGCGCGAAATCCTTCTGAAACGGTAATGCTGTCAGTTAGTGCAATTACCGTGGCGCAGAAATTCTCACATTCATTGCGTTCGTTGCTAATGACATCAGCGCGGTGAGCTGAATTCCCAGTCTAGTTTATGCAAATTGGTTTAGTGTTATAAAAATAGCGGAAACTCAGCAGTTTGCAAACATCCAAGAATGTTGAGTAGACGATAACTCTCTTGGGAATTTTGTGCTGACAAAACAGACAATTTATTAAAAGCACATCTCACATCGTCATAAAACGTACCCTCAGGGTGATATCAAAAAAGGCTTAATCAGGTTTTTGAAAGGTAATAACAAACGAAAAAGTTAATAGGCATGAAATATGGGTTCATGTAATCAAAATTCACTCCTCAAACCAACGGACAGGAACGAGAACGGGTGAATTAACGTTGACTGCGTTTAGGTTTCAGGGATTTACTCTGTCAAAACACAAATTTAAGCCTAAACTGGTTAAAATGTTCGCATTGGTGGAGTTATTGACACTTAATGCAATCTTCTGGCTTTGGCAATTACTCTTTTACAATAACGCTTCAGTCGGGCATGAATATGCCCCAACCAACGCACACTTTCTGTACTCTTCCACTGAACTCCCCGGTGGCACTTTTAAACCCTCAGCAGATCTTGGCCCCAGAATTGGAGACGGACCACACTGAAGACCATTGAATGTGTACTTTTCACACACTAATTCCACGTAAAAGTTTACACGAAAGTGGCAGAAAGATGTTGCGAAACATTGCGTTTACATTTATCAGAAAAGGATCAGAATTTAGCTAGAAAATCGGAGTCGTGTAGTTAAAGTTCTTACCAGGGGATATTAACTGAGGTTTAAGATGCTTATAGGTAAATCGGAAGATAAATGAACGAAAGCCATTAGTTTTTTTAAATAACAAATTAACTGCCACAAAAAGCTATGTTAACAAATGCGGTAGGTACAAAAAAAACTAGCTGAGATATTTGTAGAAGGTTTTGAGTTAGCAAAATCAATTTTGATAATGAGGAAAAGGGGTCAGTTGAATTTGCTACCCGGAATTCATCTGCGCGACGAATCGCATCTTTCCAAGTGACCTTTTCTCCACGTTCCGACAATGGCACACATTATGTACCGATTAGCAGCTGTCCAGATGCGAATGATGTAGAGGATTTGCCAGACGTAAATTGGAAAATGCACACTCCTGAACAGTTCAAATGGTTTCAGCGGACAAGGGGCTTAGTTGACGAATACGTCTCAAATTTAAATTCCTCCCAACTTTTTTCAAATTGGCTGTAAGAGTGAGGCTGAAGCATAAATCTACCAAGGACGGAGGGTTGAAATGATTGCTTAAATTTGTAGAAAAAACCCCGCTATTCGTGCCAGAAAACCTTTTTGGTATAGGAAAACGACTGGCAACGAAATCAATCATAACACAACATGGTCGGAACCACGAGTTTCACTGTACAAAACTACCTGGAATGACCTCAAGAAGGCAAATCAAAAATTTTTAGTAGATTTCGTGAGAAATCCACAAGTGAACCAAAATTCTGAGACGTACTCGGTTTGCTTCTTTCGTACTCAGAAGTCGGTTGAAGGTAAATATGCACACACATCACTCGGATCTTAATTCATGCATAAAAATTTCGTGATTTGACTTATTGGGGTTGAAGAGGGCTGGGAGATGGGAAAGTGATTTGATAAAGTGGAAGAGTAAAATAAACTTTCCGGTCTTCAATTATTCCAAATACTATTCGCATTCTAAACATAGCATGATCACCACACCCAATACCCAATAAAACGATGCACCTTGCCTTTAATTAATCGCGTAGACTTGCAAAACAGCAACTCACAAATTATTTTAATTAATCGTAGACTACCTTAAGGACTGCTAATGTCAGGCTTGATGGTATTGAGTACTTCAAAATTTTTGCATTTTTCACAATCACTGGGCATTTAGTTTCCTCGCAGTCTAAATATAAACAAATGATTGAACAGAAATCTCACTCATTCCAAATTAGACACAACTCTTCCTGTACCTAGAAAACAGTTCCACTCAGTCAAATCAGACCCAAAGTCAGCGCTATTCAATCACATTCCCCACCGTGAGTTGGGCCAGGTCTACTTTTAAACAAATGAGTGATCAGAAATCGCTCTCGAGTCCATATCGACACAACTCATCCCGTACCTAGAAAACAGTTCTACAGAGTCAACTGTGGCCTGACAGTCCAATCAAAGTGAACATTGGTGAATTTTAGAGCCTCTAGCAACTCCAGTTACTCTTTTGTAGACCACGATTTAATGGCCATAGTTGGAAAATTAGCATTTCGTCACGCAGGTCTGAAATGCTGCATTTTTGGATAATGTAGTCACGCAACTTCGGTAAATGTAGGGGATTCGAAGTCAAAAATATTCTGCCTAAATTATTCTCTCTGGTCTGGCACAACAATTCCAAAGCCTGCAGTCAATATTTTATAATTAGTCAAAAAATAGACATGTAGTTCAATTTTAAGAGGCGTTAGTGGCTAAGGCAAGAATTAGGAGGAGGACAAAGGAGATTTTTACCAGCCTGGCTGGGGTTGTTTTGTCAGCGGATCCACAAGCGTGGAAGTCGTAGGAAATACAGGGAGTCTTTAGTTTTGAGAACATCCTTGATACGAGTTACGGGATAGAAAGAGTTCATTAATTGTTTCGTGGACGGTCAGCAGTCGCGTGTGAGTGAAGCCTGTTTACTGATCTAATAGTATCAATGACACATCATTATTTAATTGGCTACTGCAATCTGTTCTCTGATTTGCACACAAATACACTGGGTAGACGGTCGTGTCCATTGTCGCCTTTCTTTCTATTCCCGGGTTATTAAGGGCTTCTAACTAGCGAGTTGTGAGGCAGTGCTAGCAAGCTGCTACAAGTGCTCATCACTCATATTCTGCCATGAGTCCAAGTGTTACACTACGTTTAGCTGATTGGCAATAAAATTCACACGAACTGATTTTAAAAACGAGGGAGAACATTGTGTATGCAGCCTAAGTCAACTGAGAGACAAAACGAGTCGACTGACGTACCACGATGTTCTTCTTCGAAGCGGAATTGTGAATTCTGCATTTGTGTACGCATTTTAAACTTTAAATACATTCCGGAGTTGGAAAATGACTTTGAGAATTGCCTCCTTTTGTCGAAAATTATGCCGAGATCGGTGAACCGGTCTGGTACCGCGGACTTGCACAAATTTCCACACGCACGGTTTCGACCAGGCTAAATCTGAATCCGGGTCACCTTCACTGAGTTATGCTAATTCGAGGAGAATGGGATTGTGCATTTAACCAATTGTCCAGAAAACTTACAGGAATCAATGGCAGTTAAGATCTTCTGCCAAAACAGGAGCGCATTATTGAACATAATTCCCTTTCGATCAGTCAAAATTTCGTGTACGCAGAATAAAACCCTTTCGCTACACAGATTCGTCTAAAATTACAACGTGAGCAGTTAAATGAGATGAGACGACAACATTCTGGCCATCTTTAGTTGAATTCATCTCACTCAGTTGACGATCAGACAGGAGTATTGAGGCTAGTTTTACATTGGTTTGATTTGATAGAATAAACGGGATTCTACATTAAAGTCTACACCCATCGTCGTTAAAACCGCAAGGTAATCACAACCACACAAAACTAGCCAGAAATATCGCGCCGCTATCAAAATGGTAATAACATTTGGTTCGGCCCTGCCCATCTTAGTGAAATAGACTTACTGACACCACCGAACAGCCGCTCTTTCGAACCAGATGGTTATAAACCGAATGGGTTCGTCCTCCAGGGGTCAATTCAAGGTCAGACTGATCCCACAAAAAGGATATTTTTGAACGCTTGCACTGGCATTCGTAGGTTTTGTCGTGTGCATTATTAATGAAGATTTACTTTTTTTCAAAAAAACGTGGATTAAGGTCAGCAAGTTTATGTTAAGCAGTTTTAGGAATGTCAGGTTCATCGTTTTACGTTATGCGACTTCGAACTGAATCTTACTAACCTCTGACACAGATCTAGGCTTTGGTGCAACTGAAAATGCGTGTCGCCGAAAATGCACCTCGGCTTTATCACATCGAACCTGCGCCAGGCCTAATTTAATCTTAGCCAGAAAAAAAGCCGGCGTTTGAAATATTAGGTTCCTGTAGAACGACAAAGTCTCCATTAGAACTGATCTGACCGGCAATCTGTTTAATGCATTCAAACCACATCTACCCAGGGGCATTCTACTGACACAAAATCGAGGTCTCCACCTCATTAATAATGTGCACTGTACTGCAAAACACTCGAATCCAGACACCTGAATAGACTTTGCACCAGCACACACGGAACCCTCTCTTGCATGTCTCTTGGCATGGTTTAGTAGCCATCAAATATCTGCCTGTGATTCTGGGGTATCCGGTCACCGGCCGGGGCACGTGAACCCAATAGAATTTTAAGCCCAAGATATTAGGTATTTCATTTCACTAGGGTCAGCGGTAACGAAGTGAACGCAAATGACAGTTTGGAAGTGGATCAGGTTCATCGTGGGGTGGGTTGAGGGTGACCCCCTGATCCGCTCGTTGCATCTTGTAACCTCGCTGTTTCCAGACACCAGGAAGCTCGAAATCAAGTAGGCTTCAGGAACTATTTGTTTTCGTGAAGGGATAGTAAACCATCGACATTCAAAGTTATGATGTGAGACGTTACTGAAAAATTCAATTACTTGTGACGACGTGTTGATAACCTCGCATGCCCTGTAACAACTGTCAACATTGCCAAACATGAAATTATTTCGTATGGTGTGAACTCGCCAACCGTTGTTTTGAGATGGTATTTGCTACTGCTAATGGTTAATCTGCTACACATGTTAAACTACTCCCCGTCTCATCAATTCTAGATCCCTGTTTCAATGGCACCAGAGCAGACCAGCCTTCGACACCAGGCTTCCTCGAGACCCAGAGCAACACAACTGCCACGAGAATACCAAGTGCTGAGCCTTCAGCCCATCTACAATCGTAAAGGAACATCCACCTCATGACGCATGATCGTACATCCTTAACAGCCGGACTGCCGGTAAGGCGAGTCGGCGTTCGGTGAAACTTACTCAATTGGACCCAATGTCGACATCTCTTCCTGCACTATCTGCTGGATGGCCGCGTCGCGCGACTTGTCCGGGTTCTTCCAGGCGAAGAACTTCCTGAAAGCACCACCACACGCAGTAAATGTGCGCCCTCCACACTACACTCCACCACACCATCCAACCCAATCTGCCACTTCTTTGCTTCCACACTCACGCCTGTCGCGTTGTGTCCAATTATGCCACGCAACTACGGCGTCACTACTGCGTCAGTACAGCGCAATGCACGGAAGTCGGAAGAGTAGCAGACTGGAGCTCATATCAACCAGCATCAACCAGCACTGTGCCTTTCAACTCTAACACTGCCTGCACGTGCTCGTGCACACACCAAAACCCCAGTTAATAAAGAACGAATGGACCTCTTTAATCCATCTCTAGTTATGTTGAAGTACAGCAAATTATCAGCATCGAAAGAGGTGCCCTTTGAGCCGTTTTTTAAAGTCTTCCGTCCACAACAAATTACACCTCAATGCATTAGCACCTAGTACATGGTCAGTTCTGGTTAGCTGTTTGTTTGAAATTGATAATACCGAGGCATAAGCTATATAACTTTCCAAATTTACTAGCACGCGATGAATGAAATGGATGGTTACGGCAACGGAAGAAGGGCTTCCAATGCAATTTGCTTCTAACACCGACTAAAAAGCCTACATCGATTATTTCCTCGTCAACAAACACGACGATTGTGTCTTGACTTGTCCGCGCTCGAGCGTGAGTGAAGCTTTTTCACGAGTTGATCTGATATCATTGGTTATCGACTACAGTCGAGAATCGATATTCATACTCACACACACGAACAAAAAACAATTGGGTGGTAGTGCAAGTATACCACTACGGTTGCAAAGACTCCCTCAAATCCTCAAGAATCTTACTCCACGACTTCCTCAAGTCACACCTGTGTGTCTGGACTTGCTTCAGTTCATTTGATCCGCTCGATATTTATGTGGTTCGCCTTCTGGCCTGTACATTAACGGTTCCATGGTTCAGCCTTAGTAAAACCGTTTCGAAAAATGCTGCTTTCTCCTCTATCCCTACAATTCCCGAAACAATCTTACTGACTCCTGGACTAAGCTGATCCCTGAGTGGCATTTTTCGCATTTGCCCAAGTATATGACCTTCGCTGCTGCATCAGGTGCCCTTTTAAGGAAGAGAACTCACAAATCGTCTTCCGCTTTACTTGAACAATTCGACGAGATTGCTCTTGTAAAGTTTCGAGGAATTGGCTGTGGAATTTTAAAATTTATTTTATCCATGTAAAAGTGGGCTAGTTTGAGCGAACATCTTCAATCCCCTCACATCTATTTTAACATATTTGTTGTGTCCACTCTCGTGGAATATCAAGCAGATTTCTTTAATTCAACACACTGTCTTTATTATAATTTTACCGGCACTGCAATAATCTTAACGATTCATACGCGCTTGAGCCGCGTCTTAAGTTCCGGTTTTATATTTGGAAACTATTGTTGCCTTATTTATAACCTTTTTCCGTGCTACGATACCCAAATGATCATTGCTAACTCTGATTGTATTTTTTTCAATCGATTTTGCTGACCATTTTAAACAACAGGCAGCAAAAAATTACCTGATACTCGGGGGCCTTTTCAGACCCGTGGATTCGCTCTTAATGCCACCAACCTCTTTACGCGCTCATTCATACGGACCCTCGAAATTTGGCGATGAATTGTCAAAAAATACCCCGAGTTTCCAAAAGGTTGTCCGAATGTTTCGAAGTTCCATCTAAATCCTCACTAACTGTCTACTTGAGCCTATAGATTGCCTTTCAATCTTCCCATCGATTTGCTGGTGATTTGCGTGTAGAAAGAACCTCGTTGTACAACTATGCAGAAAAAGCTACAAAGTATTGAAGAAAATGTGTACAAATTTCAGCAAACGTACTTTTTGGTGGTTCAAAGTCATTTCAGCAAAAAATATAGATAGATTAACTAGGAAAGTGCAGGTATTTGTGCAGTGCATTTGTTTAAATGCCAAAGATCACCTACATTCCGGCATAGTTTCGTTAATTCAAGAACATAAATAACTGTGCAAAGAAGTCCCAGAATCCTTCAGAATAGTAACTGCATTTTTCGTGGTGCCAATCGTTGTCCCTGGCACTCAGATTTGTTATCCAGAGACACTGTTAAGCAAATACTTAAAGATCTTCGCTTCGGAGCTGTTCTCAACGTGCAGCGTAATCCTGCGAGCCCACTGAGTTTCGGATTGCACATTCTTTGTCACGTCACTATTTTTAGTCCAACGCGACTGGGCTAAATGCCTAATTAACAAACATGCCTCTTTGATTGACCAATTGGCCTTCTTAAAATTGCTTAAACCCGACGTAAATATGCAAAATGACGGAGATAGCCTAGTCCCAGGATAGCTTAACCGACATTTATGCAATCTGTAATTTGCCAATTTTTTTAAACCTTGGTATTTGAAAATATGACTACTTTATGCTTAAATCCAATAAATTTAATAAGCTAGCCTTCATTTTAATTGTCCCTTTAGAGCCTCTACCCAGTTAACACAGAGGCTAAACTGGCGGAATTATGAGCAGGGAGCGAGTATAGTGCTGATAACCTCTAATGATCAATCCAACCAGTCCAGTAGCCAGCCATAAGCGTCAAGTGAAGTTTAGCAGCAAAAGTAACCCAGCCAATGAGATTGCAGCTTCACGAAATCGACCGACTTGCACGCAGCTGCCGTTAGCGTTAATGCAGAAGCCATAAATCAAATGTGTTTACTTAGCTGATTCGACGGTGCTGTCTGATTTTGCGTAGCCTAGCCGGGCTTTACTGCCCCTGTAAACACTCGTCTCCAGAAACGGTCTTGTTCCCTTTTTAAATGGTCATTTGTTTGGATTTCGTGTCCGATTTGAACACAGCGAATCAAATAGGCTGCCCCACTCATCTATGACTGTTAAGTTTACTTAGGAGTTCAAACAACTGATCAGAAATCGGCCACATCGACCAATAGTTTGTAGTGTTACTTATTTGGCAGTTCCGAGAAAATGGTGATCGAACGCCCACAGGGAAATTAGCACATTTAGAGATAGAATTTGGTTTTCTGTTTTGGTTGGTTATAACTAAAATATGAATTTTATGTGCACCAGCCACACACCTAGATGTTCGTATACTTCTGTGAAGTCAAAATCCAACGGGAGAGAAAATCAAAACGCGTTTTTGTCGTGACTCACACCCAACACGATTTTGTGTTTCTTATTCTTCTCCAGCCAAAAACTACACGTTTTCCAAATGTGTTGAAATGCAGCATCAGTTGGGCTAAATCCCACACAGGGATTGTATCTACCGTGGCGAAAATGTCTTGGCCGTCGCTATGGCGAACCGTAGCATGTTAACTCTGAGCTGTCATTGGCCGAGCGCTGCTGGCATCCATTGAGTACGTGTTTTGCCTTGAGTGAGAGTTAATTAAGTGTCCATCATCAATTTATGTGGATCGTTATCCCCGTACCACGCCCGCCTACTACCAAATCCAGCTTTGGCACGTACTTCTGTCCTGAACATTTTCTACCCAACCAGGGATGGCTTCCCCCCATGGCTTTGAGCTTTAGTATGGAGGAGGTTAGTTGAAACAAAAGAATATGATTTCACCTGGTTTATAAGTGCATTTCGACATTTCTTCCGGTTGTAAATAAGAAAAGCAGTTGATTGGTTGGTGTACAAACTTTGTTATGTGTGGCAGAATTGGGAATTCCTAAGATTCATAGGTAAACTTCGATTCGTGCCTTTCATAGTCTCGATTCCAGGAAAAAATTCTACCGTGTTTTCGATAGGAAGGAACCTTCATTCACTGTGGAAATTGTTTTGTTTTAATGGGGCAAGCGGAACAGTCTCGAGCCAGCCAATGAGAAAATCCCAGAAACTAGCAGTCATTGTGATGTCACAGTATATTAAAACAAAACTGAATTTTACTTAGCAGTGACATTAATAGTTGTTTGAAACGGACAGATCAATAATTGCTCGCGTCTTCCCAGAATTCACCTGCGCGTCGCAGGCTACTAGCATGAAGCAAATCAATCGAGTCGCCGAAGGATTCACTTAATGGGAAAGCGTTATTTTTTTAAACTTCTGCAGAAGCACCATAATAATCATTTTTGCCGGATAAATCGGGTGCTTCATTTGTCTAATAAAGGATTGAAAAATTTTAATTGGAATTGAAACAACTGTTGTCTGCAAACATCTCCTAAAATTAGTAGTTAACTTTTTACTAAGCTCGATGTTATCTACTGAACCTAAATCCCTTCTGACAACTAACCGAGATTAGCTGAAGATATAGATGGTGGTTTAGTCATTGTCGACCCAGTGGAATTTCACGCTTGCTGGAGCGGCCTACGTTGAAAGCCTCTCCTGAGTGCGTGCGAGGTTGAGACCAGAGGTAGAAATCATTACTTCCAGGCGTAAAATGAGTAGGGTTAACTTCTTTCAAATGTAACGTCTCGATTTGTTTAAATCAACTGTTTTATGTGCGAACACAAATCAACACCCAAAGCGTTACATTTTCGTGCCATCGCAAAGGCGTTAAGTTATGTCTAGTTATATTTTTCTTGGAAGGTGATGGGTATAGGAAATTCGTGGGTGATGGAAATACACCAAAAACATGCAATTGGGGCTGTGCTCCAAATCTCAGGATTGATCAATGTCAAAAAATGCTTCCCTCTGAACACCAAAAATGAATGCCTTGGTGACAAGTCGACAACGTTTAGGCATCTGAGGCAGCTTGACAATACGGAACAAGGAGAACCGGGTTATCACAGCGATTTTTCTCTTCACTATAGGTAAAGGTGAAAGTCGGTTCGTGTTTAACACCTTAGCGAGACAAAGAAGCTGAAGGCACAGAAGTGCAAGAGGGAAATCTGCAGCAAAAGCTGCAATGAAAGTGTTCTGAGGTGTTTGCTGAATGGACAACGGTGGAACAATTCTGTAGGAGAGTCATCCACATTTCCAGGCAATACTTTTAAAGGGGTACTGTCCAAAGTTTGTCAACAGAAAAGGCATCAACTTTCAACATGACAGCGTCAGACCATATGTCACTCAGAATACATTTCAAAACCTGTGGAATTAAAGTAGATTAACCTCCAACCTCACCCGCCATATTGCCCTGATCATCACCCTTCTCATTTTGACCAGTTTTGTTCCCTCCGAAATAATACGAATGACAAAAAAGTTGTTTGCGTGAAAAGAGATAATAACTAGCTCATAACGCTTTTTAAAGAGAAATCCCGTAGTTTCTATGATGAGTAAATTTATAGGCTTGTAAAACTTTGATAGGTGTGGAAAGGGTAAACAGTATGTTGTGGTTTGAGGAAAAATAATTTTTGCAAAAAATCATTTTTTTCTTACTTTGGTTTCACATTGGGTGCAAAAATGTGCAATGCGCTAGTTGACTTTCTGGCCTTATCAGCACGAAACTGAACTCGAAGTTATCACCATCATTATTTAAAGTTATGCAGTTCGGTGAGGTCTTCTAACTCAGGGCCCAACGTAAATCTGCTGGGCCAAGGTCAGGACTGCATGTGGACACCATGCCAGTAATTTTGCACAATTTGCCAAATCTGTGTGAGACCTTGCATTGTCTTAGTGGAACACGACATCCTGAGGTCTGCCATCCCAGAGTTTTTTTTAGAAATAATTCTTTACATAGTTTCACTTAGCACCTTCTTTGCAGGCTATGGGAGAAGCGCATTTTCGATTTTTCCCAATGGGACACAAGCAGAAAGCTTTCTAATCACATCAATGATAAGCAAATATCATAGTAAATTTCGCTCAGAGGCGATTAACAAGGTTTAACACGCAGCAACTTCAAGCGAGATATAAAGTGCTTTGGGCTAATTCATTTGGTGGCCATTTTCACCTACCCGCTTGACCCACCTACTGGCAAATCCTCGTGGTAGACCAGCCAGACTGGCGGAATACGAGGCAGGCATTTTTTTTGTTTTCGTCCTACAGGAAGCACTTCAACCTTGACGCAAGGGCGCCTCAACGACGACAACAAAAACAGCCTGTAAACCGGAAAGACTCCTTTGGAGAGGCGCCCTGCAGATCACGTGGGCCGCATTGGACAGGGAAAACCGCTTCAAACAGACCAACGTCTTTGGCTGACACAACACGTGTGTGGTAATTCTCGATTATTCAAGGCTTTCACTACGATTCATGCGACACCAGACTTAATGCTTGCTCATCTCGTGCTACTCCCTTGGTCTTCAATGCTTGTGCTCAACCATTTGATCCAGCACGTGGAAAAATCGCCTACAACATTACTTCATTACTATCAATTCAACGGACGCCTAACAACACGTTTATTGGGTGGGGTTCAGTTTGTCGCCAACGATTCTCCTCCCTCATTTTCATGCTTAATGATTCCTTATCTTACTCTGTAGTTATGCAAAACGCCACTTTTCGTCCCCAGTTACGATGTGATTTAGGGACAGTTCATTTAATTGACAAGCGAGGAGAGAATTGGTTGTGCAAACCAGGTTCTCTCTGCTCCGTTTAATTACAACGTACGAAACCCGCATATCGGGTTTCGAAGCGTTTCCAAGCTGCATTAAATGGTCAACAATTAGTATCTTTGCAACCTTTTCAGTAGGAATTCCCGCTTTACTATCCATCATTTTTACGGACGTTCGCCCATAATAAGGTTAATCGCTAGATTGAAGTCATCATCTTTAACTCGACCAAGACAGAAGCGAGATCCAATTAAAAGCCTTAAACAGTGTTTGTCATAGTTTCAACACCCCCGTTTTTTATCAGGTCCTGTAGCATTTCATTTACTATTTTGAAATGTAAACCTGCAAAGGAATTATTTAAAAGAAACGTTCAGTAATTCCCAGTTGACTCATGATGCATCTGGATAGATGTCAGCTTATAATATGATTATAAGCGAAAGGTCAGCACAATCGAATGAACTTCAGTGGTAATCGTGTACAAACTTGTACACAGCAAACCGGACTCTGAAAAAGAAGGACTTAATAGGTTCACCTATTCGTTAAGTAACATGTCGAGTCTTGACGCATTCATACAGATGTTAGGTAAACACGATAAAAGTATTGTTTACCAAGCCATTCTCCCCTCTGGAATAAATGAATTGATGTCAAAGCTGAATTCGGTTGCTCCGTTAAGTCAAATGACATCTGTGACACCTGCCAGTTAGTCTTGACGTATTCGTTGTTTCAATCATGGATCCTACTAAGCGCCGCTCACAATTTTATCACAGACGAGCGGTACTTGCGTCGAATACTAGTTGAAATGGCCTCTAGTGGATGGTGCCCATAGTCATTGTGCATATTTACCATTTACTGTTTATTATCGCCATATTTTTTTGCTTATGATAACACGTATTGGTTGTCTAACGTATCCAATCGTCTTTTTCAAATAACCCTTGAAAGTAGGATCAACCAAATTCGAGATAGGCATTCATTTGGTGTTATTCAACGCCAGATTTTGTGGATTTAGGACGGATTTTTAAATCTGGAGCTTGTGCGTGGGTGGAACATCTGCGCCAATTTTAAAAATCAGTTGCTGCTCGAGAGATATTCCTGAACCAGAAATGCTGAAAACATCTGCATCAATGAAATTAGTAGTCTGAAATATGCAGAAGCATGAATTTGTGCTACAACACATGTTGTAAAATGAAATTCTTGGATCAAATTAGTTTTGTGTGTAAATTATCCGCTCCCCGTAATTTATGTTTGCACAGTCTTGCCAACTTGAGCGTTGCTCAGAAAATTTCGGACACTGTTTACACAAAGTCGAAGATTTCGATTTAACAGGCTTAATAATAACGTGTAAAAGTTAGTGATTTTTTGATTAAAATAAAACGTTTTCCTGATTTTTTCCCTGGTTTTTCCATTTTTCACTCCCTCCCAAGCGTTATTCGTAAACTGTTGTCGTCGACACCCGGCGATTTGTGCTGCCGCAACTTCCTTTTACCAGAACAATCAATAAACGGGAAAAGGGCTACCGTGAAAGCTGTAAACAATCGTGAAACATAAATGCATAGTTCTTGCAGCATTTTTAAGCGGTGTGCCAATCAAATTCAGGTACAACGGATGTCAAATGATGACTAGCCGTGTCTACGACAACCTCTGGGTTTGGTGAATAACTCGAGTTCGCTTCAATTTCATTTCATCATAAACAAAGGAAAGAAAAAGTAATGTGGGAGAACTCCAAAGCCCAAATTTTAACAGAAGTTTTGAAAATTGGGGTATTCTTTTAAGTAAAGTCCACAAGTGAAGCATCACATAGCCTGGAGGTGATCGTACTGAAGAGGACCTGTTAGCCAGTTATGCGGGCGAACGTGTGTACTGACCTTGAGGAGGTCAAAGACGCTCATGGAATGGAAGGACTTTGAGCGTAACGAGACGAGATGAGGGACAATGTAGCACACAAGGTATGGAATATCTAGTAAAAGAGGCCTGTATTTAGTAGGTGATTCATTCGCGACCGAATGAACTTTTATCAGCCAAGATTGCTTTGTTTTTGTGGTGGTGGTGGTGGTGGCGGTGGCCGCGGCGGCGGTGGTGATGAGATGTAGTTGCTTCTGAAAAGTCTCAAGTTTCATAGACTTGTTGACCAAGATAAATGCACGCCTTCCATTCCCATTACGAATGCCAGAACTCGTCTTGGTGGCTCATCTTCGTCGGTTAAAGGACCACTTATCGTCGCCATGGGCAATGCGATTGAAAAACCGTGGTTCGTGGTCCTGGGTGACCTTGCAATGTACTGATGTTATTGGCTTCTCGGAAACCAAGGATCATGTCCATTGATTTCAGAAGGAGACGATTGACACGATGTCCTCAAACACGAAGCATTCAGTCGGCAGGTGGCGGGGATTGGGTGCGTCCTTGAAGCCGAAGTCCTGGCTCTGAAACTTGGCGTCCACTTTGCACCGACGTCTTCTCCTTAAACCACACAAAAATCACCAAGCTGCGTTCGTGGTTTTGACACCACAATCGCAGGCACAATCCAGTATTTTGCCCGACACTTGTAAATTGGCAAGAAAAAGCAGTTATGAGAAAGCGTGATAACCCCTGAACAAATGTTTATTTCTGTAGAAGTAGGTGGTACAACCGCGATGCTTGCGTTGTAGGCGGTAGACTGAAAATGTGTCCAAGGCGATTTCGCAGAATGTGAAATTTCGTTGGGGTACTCTGCATGCGTGAGCAGCGATCACGGGACCACCGAAGACGTCGCTTCCAGCAAGTGCACCTGAGCGTCAGCAGACGCCTGTTAGTTGATGCGTGTCCCAACAGGATTGTTGTAAGCTGATTGGTGCCTGTGACTCAGCCTCTACCTGTGAGTATTTGTGACTCACCTGTTCACTCCGTAAACACGCTAACACAAGTACGGACACATTACGTCCTCTCGCCGTCATCTTTTTAACGTGTAGTTGACTGACAGTCCACTGTGAATGTTGCTCACTGTTACTGCATTGCCGAAGTTACGCCTTACAGTGTTCTAACAGACGTTCCAAATTTAAGTAATCGAAACACGCATTTCATTAAAAATCGTCCAAATCCAAAACAAGAGTGATCATCCGGAAGAAAATTCATCACATATACGAAAAGTTACATGTCAAATTTTCTAGCCATTAATTCTGCATCGTTTTGAGTTCTGCTCGGAAATTCTTCGAAGGCGAGTCTGTTCTGTCGTGTTTCAAAAATGTGCCAAGGAGGTTATTCATTGGCTACAAGTTAACTGTTCATTTCTTCGGTTGGTTGACACATTACCTCAGCCTTACCCATAGTAAGACACGCATTTGTGCCTAATGTCTCGCTAGTCGCAGCATCATCATCATCTTTGTCGTTGGGTTTTACTGAGCGTCGACGACCAATAGGATCGTAGAAGCACGGCAACAGTGCCATTTGTCACTTCGGCAAGTATGAAACTGAGTAACCTTATGCGGCAAAAGCACAGGGTTACGTCTTTCGGTCTGAAGCAACAAAACCCGATAGCACGCCCTTGGAGTCAGTTAAATTCAGCCAACAGTTGATTTTTACCAATTTTTTTGAAAAAGCGTTTTTAATTATTTTTTAACATCGATCTGCGAATACTTTATTGTTCTTTTCATATTAAAAATGTAACCAACAAGGCCAAAGAACCGGGGACACCAAAAAATGTTTTAATTAAAAGAGTAGGTACCAATTTGTTATTTCCTGAAATCTTAAATTTTGAAGCCGAACTATCAAGACTGTCAAAAATACAACGTGATGCATTCCAATTTTTTCAAAAAGGAAGCCCAAAAATACTGATGGAAAATATTTATTTAATTTGGACAGTAACTGTGATCTAGTTTGGACTGATTCTGCAAGAGGCTAAAATAAATATTGACGCTTATTTCTACACTACAATATGGCCTTTCTTGAGAGATCCTAAATTAACGTCCACCAAACACTTGGAGTGGTATTTCTGAAACCTTGTGCTGAAAATCGGTGTTGGCTGGTTCCAGCACAATCATTCATTTCTGAAAAACTCAGACCGACAAGAATTGTTAGCTTGGTTTTTTAACTGGGATCAAATTATTAGCGGAGTCAAGTTATCCTGTTTGGAAGCTAATTGAATTTCTTAATCTCTCCGAGTTTTCATCGAGTCTGCTTGATTCGTTACCTTGTCAAGTGGTTTAACATACAAGGTTTTTGAATTCATACCTGTTACATCCAGAATTTGCGTATTTATTACTAATTTGGGCAGTGATTACGAGGAAAACGTAATTTTCCTGACTTCCTGCGTGAGAGGTGAGTCACTGGTGTTTTTTCACCATTTCCGTTATTACCGCAATGCGGACATTTGTGATTCAAGGAGTCTTATAACCTCAGAAGCAATGGAGTGGCAGCCTTTCTCATCGCAGTAATTAAGAAAAAGTGATCTTGAATCTCAAGTCGCAACAGACGATTATTCTGACACAAAACGTGGCTGTTTTGTGTGGCGAATAATAACTGGCTGTGAATGTTTGCGGCCCACGATCGGTCACGCACGGCGTCCGTCTAACAGAATAAAAGACGACCCGAGACGTTGAACAGCGTTCACAAGCATCGAACGTGACAACAAAAAAAGTGACTATAGCACTAAACTTATTCAACAAATATGGAAGAACAAACTCACGCCACTTAACCTTACCGACGCTTCAACCGTCCAGTGAACAAATCGAAATTAGCGCTCAGCAGGTCTTCGAATTAAAACATCGGATAAATCAATAATTAGGTGAAATATATTATAATGTGTATCAGTGCCCAAAACTAGTGATGACTTTAAACACTGAGCTGGAATGTGTCCTTTGAAGGACAATGCTAGCTGAGCAGATTTTGTCATAAGTGGCATAAAAGGCAGTTTTTGTACTTAGTCCAGCATGACACGGTGTTGTATTTGGGCGACATTTAATTCAAATTCACTATTTTTTCATAAAAATTGGCTTTTAGTTTTAAAAACGAGCATTCTTTACAGTGAACGACATTTAATTCACGCACGAAACTTATACTATAGTGTTGCATCAGATAAAAATTCTGTTCATTATTGCCGCCTAAGTAATAAGTGACTCCAGTGGTTAATTAACACAAATTGAATGGGTTCACTTTGACGTTAATCGTGTTCTGGAGTCACAAAATCTTATCCAATAGATGACGCTTGTAAGTCGTCTAGGCATCCATCGACGATAGTCATGGTTTAATACTGATCAGGTGAAAATCCACTGCAGGCTGTTCGATTTGGGCAACAGTGAATGCCTGAAGATCCTCTAAATAAGCCAAATAACTTTGTACACAGATTTCAGCTCCACCACATTCTTCCGACGTAATTTTATTGGGAGCTCATCAAAGTGCGAGGATTGGCAAAGTAACTGGCCTTGAAAGTGGCATTTCACATTCAATGTCTCTGTCGACACCCTGGTTATGCGTTTCTCCACAAATTCGAATTAATAAAATATATCTTCATTCATTTTCACGGCAATAATAAATGTTCTTGGGTCTGTATGTCTGTGAATTTGACTTGTAATTGAGAATTAAACGTGTATGTGGTTTTTTAGTCGTTTTCCGGTTAGCGCTGAGTCCGGTAAAATCTGCCAACAACATCCTGCCGTCAAATGACCCAACGGAAACTGCAAGGGTAGTCGCTACTTTAAACAACCACTCGTGTTTGCACATGGAAGAGATGAAGCAGAAATCAAATGATTTAATTAACATTATAATGGTCAGTTTGTGGGAAGAGAAGTCCAAAATACTGGGTAATACCAATGTGAACTCCTATTAAATTTCTAGCTTTACCAACACTTGGTTAATGAGATGGAATGCGACCATGATGGAAGAAGACCTTCCAATGCCACCAAAAAGGTCGCCAGCGATGGTTTCCTTGTCAACAACCAAGACGATTGTGTAGTGAGCTGTTCAAGAACGAGCTTGAGCGAAGCTTATTCACGAAGTTAGTTGATATTATTAACTATTAATTCAAATTGGAAATCGATATATACCCTCACGCACATTTGTCCAATGAACCTTGTGTAGTCTGACGTCAAAACGTTTTCCTGTCCACTGTCAATTGTCTTGCCGCTGATCTCGGTTTGCAACGCACCACTAATTAGCAGGGTTGCAAGGTAGCTCAAGCAAACCATTGCAGTTGAAACGATTTTCTCTACAAACCCAGAATCCAACTCCACGAATCACTCAAGCCACACCTGTATGTCTGGACATGCTCCAGTCCATTCGATCCCATCGATGTTCATGAAATCTATTTGGGTTCGCCTTGTGGCCTGTATATCAAAGGTTCCATGTTTCGTCAAACACTGCTCCTTCCTCCCTTCTTCTTTCTGGACAGAACTGATCTCTACGTGGTATTTTTTCATCTCCTTTACTATTTGACCTTCACTTCTTCCACTTGTCTCTGTGCAAGCCGAACTAAACGTAAACAAGTGCAATTTTGCTTAAACTAATTCACAAAAGGTCTTCTGTCTTACTAAGGCAATTCAATTTAGTGTCTCTTGTAGAGTTGCACAGAATTGGTTTTGAGATTTAAAGGTGATTTAATCGCAGATGATAGTGAGCTTGGTTGAGTGAACACTTCAATTTTGACTAGGAAAGGCTTCAACAGTAAATAAGGATCAATGCGTCTTCGACAGAAACAAGACTGCACCCATTTTTGGCTGAAACTGATTTAATAAATGAAATGACCAATTAGACAGTAAACAGAAAACAAGGCATTTGATTGGTGCTCAATAAGTTGGGTGCCCAGGATCGGAACACATCCTGGGTAATTAAACATAACTCAAATCCTGCACATATTTAACAGTTTACCCCTCCTAGTTGTGTGTCAACCATTTGTTTCTCATTTTCTTTCTCTCTACGCACATCACGTTTTACTAAAAAATGATTTCAATTTTGCTTAAACCGATGTTATCTAGTAATTTCTGTTTTTTAACCTTATCTGCCAATTTAGCTTGTCGTGGGAATTGCACAGTCGAGCAGCATGCGAGACCTCGTCGCGGCTGCGCCACAAAGCGTGTTGCCAAGGCAACAGTTGGTTTGATGTTTATCTAAAATTAGTCTCTTGCACAAACCCAACTGTTTTTGCTCGTTTAGTTTGGTCGGGCTGTCATTAAATTCCACAAAATATTTATGTTTGGGCTACGGCCTGTCCGAAATGTATTTCAAAGTTTTGAAAAAATAATGTGGGTTAATTGAACAAGGACGGAACAAGTTAAACACAACTTGACTATCGCATTTTGCACCAAATGGATCATTAGGCATCGAATTTTGACTAGAATGAACTTGATTTGTATCCAGAATTAATACTCCAAATGAAAGGAGAACGTTTACGCTATTTTCATGTTGGATCGGAAGTAAAAATTACTCAAGACGTTTATTTGGATCGCGTTTCTATTCGAAGGAAAGACGTGGCTTGATCAGTTTTAGCATGAGTGTTGTGAATCGCGTTGATCCACGCTCGTTAATCTGACACACGGTCCTTCATTTCGTAGAATGACGCCAGCCACGCGGATCCTCAACTCCCCCTCATCAGCGCGAACAGTTATCCTGGATTATCCTCACACCTAGGTCTCGATGTTAGACCATCTACAACTCACACATCTAAGCCGTAAATACGCGTGAACACCACCCACGACACACGCGACGACGACCTGGTTAAGTCCTCGAATAAATGGTTGACTTCATCCTTGTTGAGTAGTTAGTAGTATATGACTCCTCAACAAGATGGCAGAAAATCGTTTTGGGCGATCATCGTGACAGCATTCGTGACTTAGTGAACCTGATTTTCACTGAAGGAGTTATTCAGGCATCAACAGTTAGCAGTCATGCTGAACGTCACTATTCAAGGCACCTTGATGGCATTTTGATAAACCGGTTAACGCGTTTCGTACGTTTTGGGGAATGTAATGAGCAAAGCCATATTTTCTCATAGCGATTTCTCTCCTCGTCCGTCAACCAAAGAAACTTCTTCTGGGTCAAGTCACAACTGAGGATTAAAAGTGTTCTGTGCAAGCTATCATTTTAAGAAAAGAATCATTAAGCATGGAAATGAATTGGCAGAATCTGTGGTGACGAATGGATCCCATAGTATGAAAGTGTTCTCAACGGTGAATAGTGCTTTGGGGCAGTTTTCCACGTGGCCAAACAATGATTGTGGGATAGAGTTGCAAACAGACCAACAAATTCGCCGTTGAAATCCACGCACACCATCCAGACTTCGTGTAGCACATCAGACACCAAAGCGCCCTGGAGAATGCTAAGGGGAAATCCTCCAGCCTGCTTCTGTTTTCCAATGTCCTTGACCCTATTCATTTTCCTCTCATTCCTTTCTTGCACTAAGGATTAATCAATACAAGAATACCCAATGCTGGTATGCATAGCCCAGTATGAACACA